ACTGTTGCTCCTTTGGAAATGAGCTACACTTTCCTCCGGCTACTTTTAAAAGTTTGTTTCTCAGCAGTTTTACTCTGTAGTAATTTGTCATGATTTTCTTTGTATTTATTCTGCTTGGAAGCCAATAATATTTCTACTGTCTATGGCTCAGTGTCTTTCATCAGTTTTGAAAATTTCTTAGCCATTATCTCTTCAAGTGTTGTCTGCCCTATTCTCCCCCCAGTATCATTCTGGATAATTTTTTTACCTTCCAATTCACTAATTCTCTCTTAAACTGTGACTATCAAAGCGATCTACTGATTTCTTAACTTCAGTCACATTATTTTTAAGTTCTAGAATTTTATTTTTATATAATTTCCAATTGTCTCCTGAAGTTTCTCCATCTTGTCCTGTAAATCCTTTAACATTTTGATCAGTTATTATAAGGTCTCTATCAGATAATGCTGAATATCTTAATTTTCTGAGGTTTATCTGTTTCATTCTCTCCTTTTTGGTCAAATCTTAATGTGTTTGTATTGCTAGTTATACTTTTTATTGGGATTAACAGACTTTGAACAATTATAGAGACAATTTGAGAAACTGCATGATGTTATCTTTCTTCAGAGGGGGTTATTTTTGCTTTTGGCTGTCCACTAGGTTTGGGACCAGTTGCCTCATTCAGTTAGGGACTGAGATCACTTGAGGCTGGGCTTCAGTGCTTGTGAGTATAGACTCAATTTCCAGTTCTCCTTCACTCAAGGGGTAGACCTTTGGGGATCCAATAAGAAAACCTAGGACGTTTAAAGGACATTTCTTCTTGGTGCAATCAGAACTCTAAATTTTGTTTCCTATGAGTCTACCAAAATTTTTGCTGTTTCTCTCACTTGTTCTTGAATTACAAAGTGCTTCTAAGAGTAAAACGTGGCACCAAACATAGGTCTCATCTGTGTGGAGTATCTGCCCCTGCTTTCTTGATAGCTCTCTGATGCTTTAATAGATTCAAGTGTTGTCTGCCCTATTCTCCCCCCAGTATCATTCTGGATAATTTTTTTACCTTCCAATTCACTAATTCTCTCTTAAACTGTGACTATCAAAGCGATCTACTGATTTCTTAACTTCAGTCACATTATTTTTAAGTTCTAGAATCTTATTTTTATATAATTTCCAATTGTCTCCTGAAGTTTTTCCATCTTGTCCTGTAAATCCTTTAACATTTTGATCACAGTTATTATAAGGTCTCTATCAGATAATGCTGATTATCTTAATTTTCTGAGGTTTATCTGTTTCATTCTCTCCTTTTTGGTCAAATCTTAATGTGTTTGTATTGCTAGTTATACTTTTTATTGGGATTAACAGACTTTGAACAATTATAGAGACAATTTGAGAAACTGCATGATGTTATCTTTCTTCAGAGGGGGTTATTTTTGCTTTTGGCTGTCCACTAGGTTTGGGACCAGTTGCCTCATTCAGTTAGGGACTGAGATCACTTGAGGCTGGGCTTCAGTGCTTGTGAGTATAGACTCAATTTCCAGTTCTCCTTCACTCAAGGGGTAGACCTTTGGGGATCCAATAAGAAAACCTAGGACGTTTAAAGGACATTTCTTCTTGGTGCAATCAGAACTCTAAATTTTGTTTCCTATGAGTCTACCAAAATTTTTGCTGTTTCTCTCACTTGTTCTTGAATTACAAAGTGCTTCTAAGAGTAAAACGTGGCACCAAACATAGGTCTCATCTGTGTGGAGTATCTGCCCCTGCTTTCTTGATAGCTCTCTGATGCTTTAATAGATATCTATATCCTAACTGTTTTAGTTTTCTCAGCAGAGGGGTTGGGGCAAAACAAGCTAATCACCCATTACTGGAAACTGAAGTCTCTATGTGCTTTATTTGAAAAGTTACTTTTAGAAAATTCAAGTTCTGAAGTAAAATAGACTTGAGTCTGTCACTTACTAGCTATATGACTTAAAGTGAGCTATTTTTCACGAGTCTTAGTTACCTTATCTGAAAAATGGAACTAACAATAGCACTTACCTTGAGTTGCTTTAAATATTTTTTCAATGCAGGTATAGTATTCAGCACAGAGCCAGAAATATAACAAATGTTCAGATGTTAGTAAGAGCAGCTTTTAAAACATTATCATGGTTTTTATTAATTATATAAATTAACACATGATGATAGCCTCTCTCCATGCACCCTCTGTGAGGAATAACTGGTAAAGATGCTATATAGATCTTAATTTTTCCAACTTTCCTATGGCTTGGGAATAGCTGAGCAAAATGGCTTACTGCACCACATTAAATAGTTTATGTAGCCATCAATATTTTCACTTTGGAAAACAGATCAATTGGAGTAAAAGAGTTAGAATATAGCAGCAGGATCAAAGTAAGCTTTGGCAAGAAGGCTCTTGAAACTAGCACCCTATACTGGGGCCTCCAGGGCTTATCCCCCAAGTGTGATGTGAGACATTAACCACTGAGATGTGCTCTGGAAGGAGTCAGATCTCCTGCTGTCCTCCCTATTTGGGCTGAGGCCCCATGATGCTGGAAAAAGCCTTCCACCTACTAAGACTCTTGGACAGTCGAGAAGCTCCAGGTGCTTTGGAATAGGAACCCTAATTATTCTGGGCTCTTTTTGTAAGAAAAACTTTTATTTCAAAGATGCCATGGTATTTTAATTTTAAAAGGCTTGCATTGCTCCCCAACACTTTTATTCAAGAAGTATCATTATTCTTCTTTATTTTTACATGTCTTATTTAAATGTTCTTAAACGCTACTGTTATACACTTAAACATCTGTTGACAGTAGACTTCATGGTAAACATTCTTGTCACAGTTTTTCAAATTCAAAAAAAATTATTTAATGTTTAAATATTAAAACAACCAAAATATCATTTATGTGTAAGATAAGTGAAGTGAAAGTCATACAGTCGTGTCCGACTCTTAGCCCACCAGGCTCCTCTGTCCATGGATCTCTAGGCAAGATTACTGGAGTAGGTAGCCATTCCCTCTTTCAGGAGATCTTCCCAACCCAGGAATCGAACCCAGGTCTTTTGTATTGCAGCGGGACTCTTTAGCATCTGAGCCACAAGGGAAGCCCAAGAATACTGGAGTGGGGAGCCTATCCCTTCTGCAGGGGATCTTCCTGACCCAGGAATTGAACCAGGGTCTTGTGCATTGCAGGCGGATTCCTTACCAGCTGAGTTACCAGGGAAGCCCTCGTAAGATATAAAATACAATATATATGTTTTATACCCACCATGCAGCCCGTTTCCCAGGTTGCAGTGAGAGTGTGTGATGCCATTTGGGGGGTGAGTCAGCTAGCCACATCAGGACTCTCAGGAAAGACCAGTAGTTGGGAATACCACATTCCATCCATCAACATAATTCCAGATACAACAGGCCTCAGGGTCTGCTCTACACCGGACGTACAGAGAGCCGACAACAGAGCAGCACACCTTAGTCTTTTCTCAGGGAAGCAAAGCACCCACGGGGACTACACTAGTGAGGCTCCAAACTTGGCCTTGCCTCCCCTACTCTGAAAAGCCAAATTTCAATAGGGATGATGGAGCCAGAGGAACTAGTTAGAAGGATGATAGGTGGCAGCATCAAGCTATGGTGAAAATAGTTCCAATTCTTCAGCCCTCAGGATCACTCCTTTTACCCAGCTAATAAAAACCAACCCTTTCACCCATACTGCTTGACCTGGTGCCTCAAATGGTAAAGAATCTGAGGAGACCCAGAATCTCCTCAGAGGGTAAAGAATGAGGGAGACCCAGCTTCGATCCCTGGGTCAGGAAGATCCCCTAGAAAAGGGAATGGCTACCCACTCCAGTATTCTTGCCTGGGAAACCCCATGGACAGAGGAGCCTGGTGGGCTAGAATGCACGCGGTCACGAAGAGTCAGACACGACTGAGCGACCAACACTAGACGAGACACAGAAAGTCTAGTCTTTGCCTGGGAAGTGTTTCAGTCCCATCCTGATTGTTGCTAGTCACCATTTAGCCTGGAGACCAGCATCTGGGCTTCTGTGTGGCTCTTTTTCCATCTGGAAACCATCTCCATGCTACAACTGCCTTCTAAGCACCATCTGGCCACAGCATGGGCACAGCTCCTCCCTTAATCATCCAAACCATAGCTGACACTGGGTTGTAGTTTCTGACAAAGACTTACTAGAAGTAAGACTAATATGAGGGAATTAACAATGTAGAGAAAATAATTAAAATAGAGTAGTATAATACATTTCATCTTTATTAGAATGCTTAGCCACAGCCTTTCACAGGGGGTCTACTACCAACATCCTTCTCCTTAGGGCCCAACCTGCAGTTAGGATGCAGAGACCCGCTCATTCCCTTCAGATGGGTGTCCCCCACAATAATGCTCCCCTCTATGAATTCTGCGGCTCCAGCTCTCCCCTGTCCAACTCCCAACTGAAGATACGAGACTGAGGCTGCTCAATCTCATAATTACATCTGCGTTCGTACTCTACCCACCGACTCTATTTTTAGGATCTGACCTACGGAACATTTCTTTCAACTCTGACAGTTTATTTATTTAGTTCCCAGGTTAAAATCCAGACGCTCCCTCTGGATGCAATGATTGTATCAGCCCTGAAACAAGCCATCCTTAACCATGAACCCAAACGGTGTAAAAATGTACCACACCTCAGCCTGGTGGACAGCGATCGTATATTACTGTAACAGTTTTATATATACTTTTATATACATTTCACATGAGTTAAAGTTCTTTCATAGTTAAGTTCTCCTATCTGCATTTATTCAATTTTAATTAGCTACCCTATAAGAGACTTACTCCTTTCTTAAGAAAGATCAAATTGACTTTCACAGGGATTTTTAAATAAACTAAAGAGGTTTCAGACTACCTGAGAACTAGAAGATATCCATCTGGAATAAAAAGAGGTGAAAATGACCTTGAAGACTTCAGCAACTCCAGAACTACTGAAATTTACATAGATTTTTGTATGGAGAGAGTATAATATGGGACAGTTTGAATAAATATACAAGACAGTTTTACCATAATTGACCTTTTATTTTTAAAAAAATTACAGGGAGTGATTTCCAGAATCTTATTTTATAAAAGTACTGCCTATATCAAATATTTTATATCACTATTAATTCCACTGAAGAGCTGCCTTTTTTTTAAAAGTACTAATTCCAATTGATGGGACACATGCCCTTAAAATAGAAAGTTTCCATTTATTCAAATGTCAAAATGAAGATTATTGAGAAGTTTATTGCTTTATGACTGGGCAAGATGCTACTAGCACATTTTAGGTAATTAATATTCTTCATTAAAAACTATGAGGTCATTCTGTTTAAAACTTTTAGGATAATTCACAGAAAATAGATATATTTATTCAAATTATACATTGAAGGGCTGGGCTATAAGCTATAGACATTTATATGTGAAGCAGCTCTTTAAAGAAATAAGACACACAAGTGTGTCTTGATACAATATACATAATTGAAATTAATAAAACCTGGAAGACCAATATTGTTAAGCTATGTTCTGTTAGGATCTTAAAAAAAAAAAAAAAATCACACATTTAGTAGTCTATTTGTGCTTAAAATATTCATATGCATGAGAAGTTTAAAGAAAAAAACACCTCTGTACATGATGATGAAAAGAAAGTAATAAATTTTTTTGAAATTGCACTGTTATTTAAAACACTTTCCTAAATTCAGACCCTCCTTTGCAGCTGGCACAGTTTTTCAAGTCTAATTGGCAACCTGGGGAGGCCCCTCTGGTATTAGTGAAGTAAAGAATGTGGTGATAAAAGACCAGGCTGACGCCATTAATCCAGGCCTTTGAATCGCACTGGCATCTTCACCTGCATCTTCTCCACTCTCATCTTCAAGCCCATCATCCATAAGACGCTCCTTTCAAACAAAACAAGAAACATATTCCTAAGTGATCTTAACAGCTACCATGAACTCATTACAAAAAAAGGAGAGAGTTAAATTCTTCCCAAAGAAGGAATATGAGTATATAATAAGGAAGTAGAACTATCTGGTCATTAGAGATCCTCCTTAAGCCCAAAACTGATAAACTCCTCCTTGTTCAAGTTCAAAGAAATAACTGCCAGTTTAATACAATAATTTCTCATTGTGAGCATAACTTTCTAGGCTATTTTTAGAAAGAATGATGTTAGTTCTTTCCACTTACTAATACTTGACTGACTCAGTATTATAGGTTCTCTGGGATTAAACCACACATTTACATGTTAACTTTTCTTCAATACTATGAAATACCCGAGATTCTTTTATTATATTGGTCTCATACAGTGCTGAAGAAACACCTATATTTAACTATATGAAAACCTCATGAGCATACCATTTCTTCAAGTTCTAGATTGTTTGCATTCTGTACATCATTGTTAACTTCGGCATTATTGTTGGGAGCCTGTTGCTGAACTCCTTCTTGCCTAAAAGGAAACCATCCAGCTTGGTGTCTGCTCAGTAAAATAAAGAGAAAAGAAAATAAGTCACAACTGTTTTTACTCGTAACACTATGAAATATTAGGGTCCTACAAGAGCAAAATGATTAGAACATTTTCATTCATGGGTTGAACTATGATAAATGAAAAAGCCAAATTTCCTTCTTCAGGTCAAGAACTACTCCTCTCAAAGCAATGACAGGAAAACAGGAATCATTTTAAGTCTATCCTGAGCTAGTAAGACATATCAGGAGTCCTAAAATCATTTTTT